GTTATTTACTTTGGCCTTTTTGGAAACACAGGAAGGAGCAGTAAACTGTTAGAATGGACTTAGTTAATTGAAAATCTTTGATTCCTTTTCAGACACCATTAAAAATCAGCTGAGCACATTGCCAATATGAAAAAAAAGGGACAAAAGAAAACATAGAGAGGAAAACAACAAGCAAAAGTGACATTCAGATTGATTTTGGCTTTAAAAAATTAAAAAAAATTGTGCGGTTTGGTCTTGCAGAAGGATGCAGAATAAGTTTGGACACCCTGTGTGCTCCTTTGAAGAGCTTCTCTTTGTGTTTCCAAAATGTTAGCAGCCGTTTTAAGACGCTCAATCCTTCAGAAATTTAGGCCTTTTATTGTTTATTTCCAAACATAAATCAGAAGCATGCAGCAATAGTTGCATTGTGCAGCGCAGAGAGCTGTCCGTGGGAGCAGGTCAGGTCAAACAAACAGCAGCCATGCATCAGGGACAGGATTTGCTCATACTATCGAGGCATGGATGCCTGTGGCGGTTCTGATCCAGGTTCTGATTGAGGCCCTTTGCTGATACTTTTGCTCACTGAGCTAATTGCTAACAGGAATGTTTAAAGAAGTAACCTTTGACCTCATTTTTTTCCCTTTTTTCTTTGTAAAACCATCAGACATCATGCTGCTAATCAACAGGAACTCACCGGGAAATATTTAGATTGCTTTTAGTTTTAAATCAGTTAAAACAATCATTGAGTGCTAAAAAACTCAGTTATTTGAAACTAGCTGAAAGGATCAGTTCAGCTGCCCTGCAGGTCGTAGGCTCTGGTGAGACTTGGTCCTGCTGTCTGTCTCCACCGACAGCCAATGACTGCAGCTAAAGCAAAGCCTCCGGCCATATGGTGCTAACCGTGAACGCCTCATAAAATCAATCATTAGTCCTTTCACCTCCGCACGCTCCCGCTGGGACCTTCATAGCAAGTAATCTGAGTGCTGCTCGTGGAAATGATGGGCTGCATCTGAAAGGAAATGCTGATGTTTGGTGGACTCAGACAAGTCAACCTGATTCCTCTAATCTCTCCTTATGTTATGTGACGTGGAAACCTTTCTGTTCCATAAGAATATATTTTTTAAACCTTCATTACTCATCATTAAATAATTATTTCATGTTTGAAATGAGTTCAGATGTTCAGATGATCCTTGGCTGGTCCTTGGCTGGTCCTTGGCTGGTCCTTGGCTGGCCCTTGGATGGTCCTTGGCTGGTTCTTAGATGGTTCCTGGTTGGTCCTTGAATGGTTCTTGGCTGGTCCTTGGTTGGTCCTTGGTGTAGGCCCTTGGATGG